TGATTCTGAGACGCATCAGCCACAAAGCAAGCCCTCTTGGTGATCCCCTTGAACGTCTGGCATTCAATTTGTCCCAAAATCATAATGCTACAGAGCAAGGGATTTTCATCAAACAGGAGGCCAGCAAAAGCTTCCTCCACGCTTTTAAGGCTATCTACCAAGCCTCCCACACGGCAAAACTGCTCATTTTGCGGCCAATTCAGCAATTCTGGATTCCATACCAGCTGATTCAGAAGTCATACATATAATAGACTTTGATATGGGAGACGGTGTCAATGCCTCCATTGATGGAGGCTATCGCTCAACGGCGCAAAACTTTGAAATTGACGTCAATAAGACACGAAGAAGAGACAATCTTGATGCTGATTTTGCTTCAACCCAATGGAAATTTAAAGAAACCAGAAGTAACCTGTATGAGCATGCCAAATCATGTGGTTTGAAGTTGAAGGTGGAGGAACAGAGTATAGAGGAATTGGTGACAGATCTCAAGAAATTGAACAAAAGAGGAGGGCATGGAAATGGAAAGAGAAGTTTCGTGGCCTTCAATTGCATGGCGGGTCTTCCACATATGGGGAGGGTCCGAAGTAGAACCATGTCTTGGAATTCCTTAGGGTAGCAAAAGATTTCATCAAAAGTGCACCTTCCAACAGGGAATTATAGCTTTTGGTGATGGAGAAGCCTGTGAGAAACTGAGAAACAGCACCAATTTCATGTCCTTCTTTAATGGCCATTTGGAGCATTACCATGCTTTATTAGAATCCATAGAATCAAATTTCCCATTTCAATTCTCAGAGGCAAGAACAGCTATGGAGAATCTATTCGTGGCGCCATATATATCATGTGAGGATTGGCTTCGGAGGTGGGAGGAGATGAGACAATGTGGAAATGTTCAATCAGAAATAGAGTTAGAGGGTGGAAGCTTGCGGGAAGAGACATTAACGGAAGTTGGAGAAATGCTGAGAGGAATGGAAGGGTGGTATGAGGTTAAGATTGAAGGCAATAATGGCAACGAGATGGCTCTGCAATGGAAAGGAACGCAGCTTCTGAGAATTTCAATACGGGCAAATTGAAGTCCGCAATCCTCTTATGTTTACAAGTCTGATTTAGTCTGTAAAGATTTATTATTCAAATTTGTAAACCAAAATATAAATACATGCTCACTGTATTCTTCCTGTATAGCAAATTTGATTGTGTTATTAACAAATTATGGATAATTTGACATATTATTTGGTATGATGTATTTTTTCTGGTCATTATAAAAATTTTGTGCATGTTTATTGTATAACATGCATAACATTTTTCACTTGATGTTTATTGATGATTTGCTTCTGTTTGGAGCCGCTAATGAATGCCAGGCCCATTGTATGATGAATTGTCTTGAACAATTTTGTCAACCATCAGGGGAGAAGATCAGAGTAAGTCCTCCATCTTTTTCTCTCCTAGAGTTCCAGATAATGTCAGGATGAGCTTTAGGGAGGTTACTGGTATGAGAACCTCTACTGATATGATATAGGGAACTATCTGGGGTTTCCAATCATCAAAGGGGGCAAATCATCAGAAACTTTTCATTACATCATTGATAGGGTCAGATCTAAGCTGTCCACTTGGAAAGAGAACTGCCTATCACTAGCGATCAGGATTACTTTAGTGCAACCAGTCATTAGTGCTATCCCTCTCTATCTTATGTTTGTTGCTAAGTCACTTCTGACCATTTGTTTGGAAGGGGAGAGGTTATAGAGGAATTTTGTATTGGGAAAAGGCAACAATTCTCATGGATTCCATCCTATAGGTTGGGATTAGTTGACACTCCTTAAGGATTATGGTGGACTTGGTTTTAAACATTTATCTTCTTTGAGTAGGGCGTGTGGCACCAAAATTGCGTAAAATTTGATCATGGGATTCTCTTCTCTCTGGGCTGAGGTTTTATTGCAAAAGTACATGCTAAGAAATAAAGTTAATTTGCTTGAAGCAGCCGGTAGTGATTCTCTCTTGTGGAAATTTGTGTCCAGGCAGAAAGATATAGTGGAAAGACGTATATGAAATGGAATGTTAGAAATGGTCTCTGCGTCAAATTCTTTACTAACAATTGGATTTCCTCTGAGATTAAAGTAAGTGATAGACATCTTAGAAGTCTTAACTTAGAGGAGGAGGAAAGTAAGGTTGCCGAGTGGATAGCGTTTGGTGCTTGGGATTTTGAACATTTGGCTAACATAGTCCCAAGTGAGGTTTTCCAAAGATTAACTACTATGTTGGCCCCCATGCCTGAAGCTGGCAATGATGTTTTATCATGGAAGGGGTCGGTTGATGGATCATTCTCTTTAAAAAGTGCCCATTATGTGATCGAGGAAGATCCTTCAAATCTCTACAGCCCAGTTTAGAAGCAAATATGGAGATGGAGAGGAGTGGAGAGAATTCGAGTATTCATGTGGATTGCTTTCAACAAGAAGCTACGTACCAATGCTTGGAGAAGCAAGTGGTCTTCCACTTCTGTTGTTTGCCCGTTTTGTGACGCTGGCACAGAGGACGTTATGCATATTCTTAGAGACTGCCTTTATGCATCCGAGGTATTATTCCAGTTTTTTTGCACCTTGATTAACAGACCGGTTTGCTTTTAATATCAAAAGGAATTTAGGTAATGACTTGAATTGCATGTGGAACTTGATTGTGGCAGTAGCGATATGGAAGCTTTGGGATTGGAGGAATCGTAGTGTGTCTGAAAATGATTTTAGTAAGCCTATAGATCCTGCGTCTGTTTTCCTTCAAACATGGAGGAATTTTGCTCACCTTGGGATGGGTTAAGTTGAATGTGGATGGTGCCATGTGCGTCACCAATAAGAAGTCAGGCTGTGGGGGCGTTTTACATGATGATGCTGGTAAGTGGATTGCCGGTTTTACTCATTTTATTGGCTTCTGTAATGCTAATGAGGCTGAAAAGTGAGCAATTTTAAAGGGACTCATGCTTGCCTGGGATCTAATTGGATTTAGGAGGATTATACTTGAGTCTGATTCAAAGAACCTGGTGGATCTATTATCCCCTAAATCCATTAATAAGGGAGCAAGTTTAGACGTTGGGCAGCTTTTGAAGCTGATGAATTATTCCTGGGAAGTATCTTTACATCACATATCTCGTGAACAGAACAAGTTGGCCGAGGCTTTTAGCGAAGGATGGTCTTCAAGCTCTTCAATATTGGATTCTTGCCCGCTGTATTTGAGATCTTTGGTTACAAAAGAGTGTATGGGATCTGATTTCCCTGAGTTTTAATTTTTGTGCTTGGGCTTAGCCCTCTTTTATGCAGAAAAAGGAAATTAACCATCAACAAACCAATATCCCAATGGCAGTATTCAGCATGGTAATTGGTATGCTTTATGTTAGTGTAAGTATATATGGAGTTAAAAAATTATCCATACGTCACAAATAAGAAAATTAAACATAAATAAATCTCCTCATCATTGTTATTATGGCCAGGACTCTGCAATCGGCTAGATAAAATTATGAAATTCAGATTAGATAGATATCAATACACACACATAAATAAAGTTGCGTCGATCCACTGCCTTGGGAACTTGTTCTTAATGATCTTATGCCATTATTTTTAACGTTTTTGGATTTATCAATTAAAAATTGTTTGACATGAAACACCACTCATTCTTGGGAGAATTTGGCCTGCTAGGATTCCTAGAATTTGCCCTCACAAGGAAAGAGACAAGTAGAGAGAGACAAGCATCATATGATTAGTCTTAACAAATCATCCTTCCTTAAATTAACAACACGTGTAGTAGAATCAGCTCAAGTATCACTAAACAAGTCTTAATGTAAATCATGATTAATGCTTAATTAGGATATTTGCAGGAAAACTATATCGTTTTCTTCTTCTACACCCCATTTGTTTCCTTCATTTGATCCAAGAGTTAAGAGAGAGGAATATAATGCCAGAAAAAATGAATCACTGACTAAGTTTTGGTCTTAATTTAAGAGATATACACGCCCATGCGTTATGTTCTCATATTTGTCCCCTTTCATCATAGATATCAAAATAATAAAATAAAATCATAGCGTCAATGGGATAATCTTACACTCATAAGCTAGCTGAATTGGAACTCACATAAGGATAAACAATTCAAGTTATTCAGCATTTGTTTTTCTAAAATAGGCTTTGGGTTCAGGTTTTGCAAAGTTGAAAGAATATAATTTTGCTTTAGTGTGATCTAACCCAATTCAATCTGAGATAGTTTTAAGTCAATGTAATTTTTTGATACTAGTCAGTTTTTTTAACTGCTTGGTACTTGGTATACCTCACCACAAAGTAGAACCGTATATGATATCATTTTTCAGTTTTCACCAACCTATATTTAATTTTGTGATATGTGTGTGTGTGTGTGTGTGTGTGTCTATGGGTCAGCTAAAGAAAACGAACTCTGTTTGCAAATATTAATGAAGAGATCTATATCAGCAAACCACCAGAATCTTTAATGCTATTGTTTTTTCTAATGAATTCTTCAATATATAATCCATAACCAACATGCTAATGCATTCAAAACTCTGAATTTCATATTAGATTCATTCCAAATGCAATCAAATTGCGTTTCGCCTGTCTTTGACACTCCTTCCTTCGTCCACTTTTGTCAAAAGAAGTACAATATATTAAGTTAATATTATGTTAGGATTTAGGAAGATCTCATGCATTAGTGCTCATACGCAGATACTCCTCCGGTCCTTAATATAGGACCCAATTCTTGAGTTGATTTTGGTCCTAAATATAAGACACATTTATCATATTTATCAATTTTCTCTAAATTACTCCTATAGATACTCCCTCAACCATAATTAAGTAAAAGAGAGAAAGGGGGTATTAAGAAAGATAATTATGGTGTTTTAGGAAAAATGTGTCAATTTTCTTATAATTAACTAACTTACCTAACGTCCTTAATCTAATCAAATTAGTTAAATGGGTCTTATATTAAAGACCGGAGGAGTATAAAATAAGAGGGGAATATTACGAGAACTTTGTCTATTATATAAGGATCTTGCAGTGCAGGGCCTTATCCATAAGATAAGCACAAAAGTCAGACCAAACAACCAAAGCAGCATCAATCAATGTCTAATGTTTACGTTAAGATATTTAAGTTGCATGACAATATGAGGACTGTTTTTTAATCCAACACGTTGCAGATTGTGCCAAAAAGAGCTAATTTCATAGCTAGTAGTTTATCTGGAGACATCCACCAATTTTAATGTATCCCATTATCAAGGTAAAACAATTTTTTTTTATAAAAAAAAAAGGTAAAACAACATTTGCATTTCCTAACTCTAAGATATAATATGGTTAATTAGAGTTATGTGATTTACTTAGTTACAGTCAGGTACAGAAAGCAGCTAGTAAAATAAATACACACTCTTTTCATGTCTCTTACTACGGGGGTGTTTGGATAGAAACTAAACCATGATTTTAAAATTACTTTTATAGTATACGAAGTAAATATATGAAGGAGTTTGTCTTGGTTTATGGAAAAGTGTTTTTAAAAGTACTTTTTCATCTTGCCAAACACCCCCACAACTTTATATACATGATCATAATATTATTATCCCTACAGAATTTATGTGAAAAGAACCAAAATATCTGTTTACAGAACCAAAAATGAATTGAACGAAGTCTCTAGTGATATCTAATCATAAATAAACAAGTCCAAAAGGGCAAGTTGTTCTCTTATGCAGTGAAAAAGTACAAGAAATGGTCACAGCAAAATGTGAATTTCTCAGCCAGAAATATATTGGCAAAATATATAAATTCCAAATTCGTTAATTGGGGGGAAAAAAGGATCTTTATGTACATCACGTAACTGAACAGTGGATTACCATTCTTCCTAGCTTGGCGCAGTGAAGCCCAGAAGTAGCAATGTGTACAAGTTGAAAAATTAGCCGGCAAAACCATATATACAATCCAATGACGCGTATTTACAAGCTATCCTGCTCCTCTTCTCTACTTCATCTTCTATCTGAATCCAAATTACCTTTTAACGCCTCTCTTCTGCAATCTCAGCTTTCAAAAGGCTGGCCAAAAAGATATAGACCATAATGTTTCTAGAGACAAAATTCCTTAGATAATTAAGGACAAAACTTCAGCACAATCAAGCGTTTGCTATTAGAATCTCCAATGAAAATAAGTAGAAATTTTCTAAAACTCAACACTAAATGATTGGGCTTTTCAAAGAAGCTCTTCCATGGGTTATGTCTCATGAAAAACAACTGAAAAATATATTACCTCAGTCTTGTCCCGTAGATAAACAGCACCAATCATCACAGGGTCTTCCTGTAAGTACTAGAAGGCAAGAATAGGCTGCATGTCTGCCAGAGGTAACGCAAGGAGAAAAATCGCCATCACCTAATCGCCCAACTTTTGTTCATTAATTTGTCCCTTTGCTTTATCACGAAGCTCCATCATCTCAGCATTGCTGGGATCAAGACAAAGGGCAGCTTCACAGTCTCTGATGGTGGAAATAAAATCACTCATTGATTCATAAAATGCTGCTCGAAGATACAACAGTTGAACATCTGGCTTGAATCTAATGGCCCTTGTAAGCTCAGCTATTGCTTCGGCTTCTTTGTGATCATCCATCAAAGCTGGAATGCAAAATTTCCATGTCAAAAATTGAGCACTGTTGTATCATGGTGCTCATCACAAAGAAAATTCATCATGAATTGACGCCAAAACTCACTGTGGAAAGACCAAAGGCATACAATACAGGACTTCTAATAAGCAAGTAATTACACATGGATATGCTGAAACTCAGAAGATCTTTTCTCTCTCAATTAAAAAGATAATCTCCATTAGTAAGATAGCCTAGCTTAGATTTCCCCTGACAGAAAGATTTGACATGAAGCTTCAGCTTCCTTGTGATTACCCTTTAACTAGCACCGGCAGACATAGTTCCACGTCAAGACTCGAGAAGTTTGGAGCTCTAATTGTTGTCACAAACAACTAGTATTTCTGCGTTAACCACACTGGCACCGTTTATGGAAAGAATGAAAGCATGGAAAGCAAAAATGCATATCTAATAGTTACGTCAACATACATGGATAAAACTAAACCAGAAAATAAGTCATATCACTATACTTCAATATGGTCACAGAAGAGGCAACCTTGCAACAACAACGGGTGAAATGATCAAATAACTTCCAACCACAACCAAATTTCTGTCCCTCCCTCTCCACTCAAGAATTTACACGCCCTACCCCTCAAAGGAGGATGAGGAGGAGCAGAACAAGTTGTTGGGAATTTACCTGCTGCCCTGTATTTGTATGGATATGTCCTTAGAGGATCCAACTCTGTTGCCATACTAAGATCACTCTCAGCCCTGTCACGTTCACAATATTCTGAACGTTTCTCATAAGCTGATGCATTATTCTGAGCCTTTTCTATAAGTTTTGTCATCTCATCATATGCATCTTTACGTTGATTTTTTAGATGATACACACGTGCTAGCCCCTGATGTGCTCGTGTATGCTTGATGTTGAGCGCATTCATATAGCAGTCAGCAGCATTGTCCAGCTTATCACAATCTACGTAGATACTTCCTAGATTATTTAGTGCCTATAAAGTAAAGGAGTGCCAAAAAACATATACCATGGGTTAGCATTGAGAAGAAGCTAACTTTGTATGAATTTGAAACCATATGTACACTCACTTGTCCTTTCCGAAGACCATCTGAAGGGCAACTAAGCGCTTCCTCTAAAAGATGAATAACGTACTTTGCAGTCTCGGCATCAAGACTTGAGTCTGCTAAGGCATATGCCTTGAGAAAGAAAGCCTCAAATGATCTCTGGATGGAAATAGACTCCTCAGCCTTTGCCAAAGCTTCTTCCCGCAGACCAGTGTCATACAATATCCACCCTTCATAGACGAGCCTTTCATGCTCAGAATTAGAATAATTTCTAGCCAGCCGCAGGCTACGCATAGCTGCCTTTGGACAGTTTAACCTGCAAGGCTCAGAAACATCAACATCCACAATTAGCCGGATCCTTCATTACAAACATCATATTACCACAGGAGAACCAGATCCCATGTGGGAAGCAAGCACTTTAATTGGGGGGGGGGGGGGGAAGCAAATCAAATTGTTCATAGCCAAAACCCCTACGCAGTAAGAAAGGATTTGTGCGTTGTAAATGACAAATTCATCTAATACTCGTTCTAAGGAGATACCGCCTATATATCCAACATACCTACAAGGCCATGATAATAACATAGTGAATGGCCTGGACTAGAACAAGGACCAACATAAAAAAGATCAAGGTAGTACATCATGTCCAACTTTTCAATTGTTACACCTTTTAAAGGTCTCCCAGTTTTTAAGTTACTTTAGGGGAAGATGCATCATTAAAATATTCATTCGTGAACAGCACTTACTGAAGTAACTTCTTAAACAATTATCTTCAACCAACATAATAAGAGAAGGAAGACAGGAGAACTCAATATGTGCAAAGAAGTTGCGTTCACTGACGTATAAATGCAGCAATTAAATGCTCCAAGCTTCAAGTTACTTTCTCAGATTTGCTTTATTAGATAGTCAAAAAACCATACCTAGACTGTTTCTGTTACAATCCAATATTGAGAAAGATTCTATATGAGGGCAGAGAAGAAGAGCAGTATAGCACAGATAGAGAAGGGTAGAGAGAGACTGAACAGAATGATTCGAGTATCCATACCTGATACACGTAACCCTTGCCTTATAAACTAAACAAAATTCAGTTGTAAGGAAACAAACAGGAAATACTCCTAATGAAATAGCAATTACTAAAGATTTCTTCACTCTGTTCCAGTTGACTATAACCAACGAATAGTGAGCTACATCTTCAATGGACCACTTTTATTATCAACCAACTATTAGTAAACTAAAAGATCAATTAAGTAATTTTTTGTCATATTTTTCTATCAACTGGACAACTGTTTTTGGGCTTATGCCCCTTAGTTCACCCAAAAAAAAAAATCAACACAAGGAATAGTCAGCTTGAGCCTTTGTCCATACTTCAAGCCCGACCTTCAGGGAATAAGTGCTTCTTGACAGCTGTGATAGATGGACATTTCCACTAAATGCAAAATTGTGACAGTAAGCTGATTCTATTAAGCAGCAAACAAAGCCATGAATACAATACAAAGATGATCAGATAAAAATGAAAACTGGCTTAAGATTCAAACATGTCAAGCCAAATTTCGATAAAACTCATTCCAACTGATGAAGAGAAAGCTAAAAGCAATTTACAGAGGATATTTGTACGGAAGAAATTTAATAAGACACATAAGAAAAGAGATCAAGACAGAACGCTTCATAGTCAAGCTATAATTGAATTAATTTAAAGGTTTCACTTACCTTAACAGGAGGAGAGATTGTCGAAACCGCAAAAGACTTTTTCCTGGGTCATTTTCTAACATATGGTGTACAACAGCCAGAGAGCCAATATCATCAACAGAGGACCATCTGTCATACAATTGGATCCAGCATTCAGCCTGATTCCACTGCTGAACTGCAGGACGAAGGAGTTCTGTCAAGTCGTCAGCAGGCATCCGTCCAAAGAACATCATGTAGTTAGGATCCAGCGTCACAAGTGCCTGCACATCTCTTAAGGCTCCTTCATAATCCTTCATAGCAATCAAAAACCAAGCTCTCAATTCAAGGCAATCAGGAGAAACCTTAAAACTGATTATCTTGTTAACTTCTGAAATGGCAGCTTCAATCTTGTTCTCCTCCAGCAAAGAAACAGCTCGATATTTGTATGGAAAAGAAAGAGTTGGATCTAATTCAGTCGCAGAGAGCAAGTCCATCAATTTTTCCCTCCCAATACAATACAAAGACCTTTCTTGATACATCCAGCCAACAGGTTTACAATCAGAGATAAGGGAATTCATCATCTTAAATGCTGTATATTTGTGACCGCGCTTATACTTTCCCCTTGCAGCACCCACTAAAGAATAAATATGTCCTGCCCCAGCTGCTGCCTCAAACCAACACTGCGCATCTTTGTACTCTTCTCTCTCAAGCATAACAACACCTAATTGGTGAAATGCAAGTTGTTTTTGCCATCCTTCTTCAGCACACTCTCCTAATCTCTCCAAGAGCATCACAGTTGTGTTAGATTTCATCTCTTCCTCCATCGCAATCTGACTTAAAAAATAATATAACAAAAAGGATGCATGACCTGTCATAGCTAGTCTATCCCTACCCTCTGGACAACAAAATATTCTCACGACATTTGGACTATGCATCGAACTTGGCAGCTCTCTCAACAACACCTGCAAGCAAGCTGCCACTAGAATATGCGCCGTCTCCTCCAATCCATATTCAATCAACAACATGGCATCCTCCATGTCACAAACTAGAGATGCCAAATGAACATCGCAAGCAGACTTCATCTCCTCGCAACAAAATTTGTTCGCAAATGATAGAAGATCCAGAACAATATGCGGAGGAAATTGACTCAATCTTTTTGTTCTGCTATATATCTCAGCAGCCGTCATTGTCTCGACAGAAATCCCATTCTGCGAGAAATTTATCTTCTCTCTTCTTGTCTCCATGAAACCACCATACAGCATTGTTTTGAAGGGCCTCGAGAGGGAAGAGATATTGTATCGTCTACACCTAATTTCAGCGTCCCCAATGATAAATGACATATCGCCATCTTGGTCATCTTCCTCGGAAGTTGAGCATTCCTCATCGTCCATCATGGTTATGTCATCAGCGTCCTCTCGAGGATTACGATAACACATACAAGGTTCATATACCGATTCTGGGTCATAGCCAGCTACTAAATTCGCCACAGGACATTCAATATATCGTCCACAACAATACATCGACGATGATCCAATAAGTTCGTCCTCCCTCCTCTCATATCTTAACCAAGAAGCAAGGACAACCTTCGAATGCACATCAATTGCATGTTGTCTGGCCGACCGGAGGCTCTGCCGAATCAACTTCGGATCCGATAAGCCACGAAATAGTGCACATTGCTCCAAATACAAATGGGACTTCTCCAAATCGGGGCAACTCTCAATTCTACGATAAATATCCGCAAGCGTTTCGACAAAATCAACGGGCTTGATAGAGGGTTCAATCTGGGGTTCTACCTGATCAGCCTTGGGCAGGCCATACGGAAGAAGATTATCAGCAACAAAGTCGATTGCTTTCGCGTCTGGAATTTGCGATTTCCGAATGGATTTGCTCCGCGTGCATTGGGTTCTGATCTGATCTTGGTATGGGTTGAAAGGATAGACTTGATTACTCCTACACCCATCCATGATCTTCAAACTACGCATTGTGGCAAATATATTATGCTGCATCTCTCGTATTCTCGTGTTCAAGAATAAGTCAACGGTCCAACACTGAACAAAATTAAAAATCTACAATTGACACATTCAGAAAAAATGTCAAAAAGTAAATTTACCTAAGGATTTTAAATTGGCCGTGCAAACACCGTTGGTTTAATAAGATGATCAGAGAAAAGCTGGTGAAAACTCGACGGTGATGCAGGCAAATTGAAATTTATCAGATGATGTCCCTGCGAGAGGTTTGGTTACTCTGGTAATGCCAGGTTTCCCTCTTTTTCTCGCCCCTGAGAAAATGGAGAGAAAGAGGAAAAACAAAAATGGTGAGTGGAATTTGACCAAATTAGACGTTGAGGTGGAGAATTGAAGATGGGTATGGCCATTTCAACGGCCATTCTTGTTGCCTGGGACAACCTGTAAAATCTTGCAGCTTGATATCTAAATATATGAAATTTTCCATTTTGTATGATGGGTTTTGCTATTTCTAAAGCGTCACAATATTGGAGCCTCTAGTGTCTTCCATCTCTGGAAATGGAACTCAGTTTTACTGAGAGGAAGATATGCAAGAGAGTTCGCAGCGTTCTCTCTCTACAGCTTGCAGAGCCCTTAACCCCCGCGCTATTTGAAGAGGAGGCGGATGTTCCTATGTGTGCATGATACAGAATTCATTACTTGAAGATGAAGTTACCAAAGCAGAATACTATAAAAAATTTGTAGACTAAAATTTACATAAAAGACTATAATTATACTTCTCCGTTCCTTAATATAAGACTCATTTAATTAATTTGATTAGATTAAGGAAGTTAGGTAAGTTAGTTAATTATAAAAAATATGACACATTTTTCCTAAAACACCATAATCATCTTTTTAATACCTTCACTCCCTCTTTTATTTGGTTATGGTAGGAGAGTATCTATAGGGGTAATTTAGATAAAATTGATAAATATGAGAAATAGGTCTTATATTTAGGACCAAAACCAACTCAACAATTGGATTCTATATTAAGGAGCGAAGGAGTATTATAATTCTTTTAAGGAATAAAAACGGACTAATACTCTCTGGACAAAAAAAGGGGATTGGTACTCTAAAATACAAAGAAAGAGTAAATTATAATAACATCCCCTTTATTTATCTCAATTATGAACAATATTTTTTTATCTTCAAAATTTTCAGAAACTTCCCCTCAAATCAAAGTTACATAACACACCTTGTTCTATATTTTTAAAATTTTATTTCCAATCCTGTAATGATTAATTCACCATTCAAACATATCCTTTGGACCAAAATATCCCTATTAATAATGAATGTTGCTTATGTGAGAAAAAAAACTTTGGCTAAATCACTATTCTATAGCGTTGGCCAAAAAAAATTATTATTGTTGTTGTTGTTCTTATTATTATTATTATTATTAAAGCGGAATTTTTTCATCCAAAAACTTCAAACCTCGCAGCCGAAACCTTAAATCCATCCAATTATATATTAAACGAATGACATATATAACAATTTATGATTAGAAGGTCAATCAAAGCAATACTTTGTAGTAATCGCTATATAACAAAACCTTAACCCTAACAGAAAAATTGTGTATAACAATTATAACTAACAAAATCAGTAAAAAAAGTCTCTGTTCAAAAACTTTTATTGGTTAAAATGACCTAATTTCAAGCATTTGTATAACTTTTTGTATAGAAATAATGTTATAGGGTGTTTATACTTCCTGTTTATAAAAATATATCAAATTCTTATAGTCAACAAATTTTTTAAATAGAGATCCCCCCTGCTTTTTTTAATTATAAATCATCCACTCATTACGAAGAGTAACACATTCTAAAAAAGACATTATATAATGAATCTAATGATAGTAGATAGGAGGAATCAATAATTTGCCTATTGGGTAAGGCGTTTGAGGGGTTACAAAGTAACTTATAGTGTGATAAGTAAGTTTGTAAATTTAGAAGATTTTTGTGATAGTTTTTGGCCAATCTAATTTATGGGTCAAAAGCTTTTTTTTTTTTTTTTAAGTACGATTATAAAAGCACTTAAAATTTACTTATGACTTATATAAAAATAGCTTTTTAGAATTAAAATATATTTTTGCCCTTATTTTTATATTGTTTTTATGCTTCTTTTTATATGTTCCTTATGCTTCCTAATCAGTTTTTAGTTATTTATTTTTAATATTCTTTTAAGTGAAAATAATTTTAACAGTTTTTATAATATTTTAAATTTTAATATTTTTTAATTTTATTTTTATATAAATTATGCAGAGTATATCGTCCAATTAATTATGTAATACTTTTCCGGTTCTTAATATAGGACCTAATTGTTAAGTTAATTTTGGTTCTAAATATAAAACTTGTTTCTTATATTTATCAATTTTTTCTAGATTACCTCTATGAATACTCCCTCAACCATAATCAAGCAAGGAAAGGAGGATATTAAGAAAGATTATTATGGTATTTTAGAAAAAACATGTCATATTTTTTATAATTAACTAACTTAGTTAACTTCTTTAATCTAATCAAACTAGTTAAATAGGTCTTGTATTAAAGATTGGAGGAGTATTATTTGGTTCAAAAATTTTCACATTACTATAATTTCTAATCTAAATATATTTTATTCATTAAATATAATTTCTTCCTATTATAATAATTTAAAATTATTATATTCTGTAAATTCATATTTTTAATCAGTTTTTATTATTTAATAAAAGTCATGCCCAATTTGGTTATTCTATAAAATAAACTTACTTATACATAGAGCCGGGAAAACGGGCCGAGCCCATCGGGCCGGCCCGTTTAGGCCCTGAAATTACGAGGGCCGGACTTGATATTTTTCTCTTAAAATGAGAAACAAGCCCTGGAGGGTTGGCCCTGGAGGGCCGAGGGCTTAAAAGGGCCAGCCCTGGAGGGCCGCGGGCCGGCCCTTTTAAGCCCTTTTATAATTTTTTTTAAATTTTTTTATATAATATTAATGTTATTAATTTTTTATATTGTTAATAATATTTCAAATATTTAGTTATTATTATCATTTTAAAATTAAATTTAGTTTTAGACAATAATTTATCCAATTAAATTTTTAAAAAATCGGTTAATTTGGACTTTAATAATGATTTGATTTATATTATATGCGTTGATATTTTTAAACTATATATATATTTGATAATAGAATATTTTTATACTTATATAACTTGTGATTCTATAATTTGAATTAGAAATTCATGAGTTTCAACAACAATGTTTCTCACATTAAAGTAAAATAATAGTTAGATTGCAAAATTCAAAAATAAAATTCTTATAAAGAAGAAAAACTTGATATTTTTGTTACGAAAGAAAAGCATACTTATGAAGAAAAGTAATTAATTATAGTGATGATGAAGTTTCAAAAGATTAATGATAGTGTTTATTTATTGCACAATTGCATTATAGATAAAACTTTTAGATGTTGTTATCTTGTTAATGAATGTTTTAGATGTTCTTAGATGTTGATGAATATTTATATATGATGATATTTTATATTTGTGACTTAATTTTATTTATATTTATGTCTTTTATTAATAATTTCATTGGTTTATTTTTATATTTTTATAAAAAAATTTGATAAATATAAAAAAATAGTATTTTTCCTTAAATAGGCCAAAAGCCCGCGGGTCGGCCCTGGCCTTGTAGCTTAAGGGCCGGGCTTAGCAAATTGGGGTATTTTTAAAATTTCAGCCCTGGAGGGCCGGCCCTTTTAAGCCCGCCAGCCCTAAAGGGCCGGCCCTGATTCTCGGCTCTACTTATACAATCATAATCCAAACAATTTTTTTACTTTTAAACTAACTTTTATAAAAGTCAATGTAAACATAAATTGCATTATTTAATCTAACTTTTTTAAAAATCAGCAATAATATTTCCTTGTACATTGTACATTGAAATGTCATGATTGAAATGTGAATAATAATACACAGAATATTAAGGAAAAAGAAATTTAATATTTATGCCCATGAAATTTAGCATTCTAAAATCATGTTCCATGCGTATAGATATTCGCTCTCTCTGTTTTTTTTTTTTTCTATACAGCACTGAATATTTTATGCATGATTTTTAAATTCTTGGTGTATGACTATTAAACGATATAAATTATTTGTTTCATTCACATTTAGGATGTTACATTTTTTTTAATTCTTAAGAAAAAAAATTGGTCATAATTTTATAATTACTTAATTATTTAGTTATGAAATCTAACGTCCTTTTCACATTTCACTATGCATATAATTTTGTAGGAATCCATATAATTTTATAATTCTATGCATATAATTTTATAATTACTTAATTATTTAGTTATGAAATCTTAATATGCATATAATTAAGTAATTACTGCCCTTACAGTGGTTAGAATGGAACTTGAATAATACAGCCCATGTGTATGGCTTCAGATGGAATTTGTGGTTTGCTTTTCTTGCCCGATCCTTATGGCTAGCACGAAATGCTCATATTTTCAACGGAGCGTCAAGCAGATGTACTGATATTATTGCACGCACACGGGCATGCATTTCATGGGGCGTCTTTCCCCTCCACCAGCTGGGGACAAGCTCCCTACCTCCAATTCACTGGTCTCCTCCCCCTCAGGGTGTCGTTAAATTTAATGTTGATGGCTCCTTTAACGGCAATACTGGTATTTGCGCTTGTGGTGGGATCCTTAGAAACCATGAAGGGAAGTTTATCCGAGGCTTCATGTACAACATCAGAGTAGAAAGTGCGTTTACTGCGGAATCATGGGGCGCGTTATGGGCCTTAAAACTGGCTTGGGACTGGAATTTCAGAGATCTAATTATTGAAAAAGTGACTGCTGCGAGGTCATATCGGCAGTTCGAGCTGAGACTCCTATCGAGCACCACGATTATGCTGTGCTGACAGAGATCCGTGGTTTGTTACTGTGAAGCTGGAAAGTGGAGCTCGTTCTATGTGACAGGAAGGCCAACGCAGCTGCTGATGCTATTGCTAAGGAGGCCGGAACCTTGATGCATGATTTGATGATTCTGCAGAGTCCGCCAGATGGTGCTCGTCATTTGATCCAGGAGGATGACACGAACTTAGCTTCCTTTTTGAGTTGTAATGGGTAGTTTGCTGTAGCTTTTCCTTTCCCAATCGAAAAAAGAAATCTAACGTCCTTTTCACAATTATTAAGAATTGTACTGTCCAGTCCCCTATGGTTACTTCAGGGTGGGTGGTTAGCATTGACTGGCTTGACTTGGGAAGCTTCGTACTCGCCTTTTGCTCAGTATGAGTGTTCAGTGATTGGTTGGTTTTGGGAATAAATTAAATTTTTGTTTTATTAAAATAGCATGATAATTACCAATCTACCCATGGTAAACAAATCGTGCGGCCCCACATCGAGCTATGGTTCCTCACGCTCCACTTCACTTGACTCCGGTCTTGTACTTCTCTCTGTTCAATTTTGCCCCTCAGCTCTGCAGCGAACAGCCATGAAGGATCGCTTCCTCTCTCAAGTCTCAACTCCATGCTTAACATTTCATACCACTCTCCCACATTTTTGGATCGCTGCCAGTCAGCAGTTACATTCTTCATG